GACAGCACTTCAGACAGCAGCTTTGTGCCCCGCCAGCTTCTTGTTCCATGCCTACCATGGTGTTTTTGTACAGACAGCACTTCAGACAGCAAGTATGCTGTAGTCGGCAATCATTCGTTTTGGTACAGAGTGGGACAAGTAGGGGGTGATGTTGCTGTAGTTGAACGGTGAGACGGACGTGTAGTTCAGTTTTGGGCACGCGTACGGTGCTGCAGGGATTATATTAGGTGTAGTAGTACCTCTTCGGGCTCTTGTACACCTTTTTCTTGCTACGTGCGCGTGTTCTTTAGATCCTCAGATGGCTCCAGCACTTTCGTGACCACGGGCCGAGAGTCTTTGCTAGATTTTGGCATTTAGCAACTGGCATAGTCTACGGTTTAATGTGAAGTCAACAACAACAACAACAACAACTGGACCGTTCTCCTCTTCGCGCCCTACCCTCACCGCCCCCTTGGCAGCTAGGATGCTTGATTCCTCTAGCGTCAACAAACGAATGGTGCTCGTCTTTGTGGCATTGCATATGAACTACTGCTGCTGTACCATATGATGTCATTTGCCTCACGCGGAGATGCGGCAGAAAAACCTTGGATGAGGCTGAAGAGGGGTGGTATTAGGCGTCATATGATAATTCACCAACGGCCACAACGCTGTATGGGTATGTTGTCCGCGCACACGCATACCCGCGACACCAGCGAACCAGCGAACGGTTGTGTGCTCACCTGACAGCCACCACAAGTGTAAAGACCGAGCTTACCCACGCTCTAGTCCCCTAGGCATCTGAGCCCGCCTGGCGAAAGGCCTGCCCCGATAGGCTGGCCGTTCCTTGTCTCGAGGGAAAAGCCGTTGGCCAGCGCAGGACTTTCTCACGGCGCGCGGGCAGCGAAGGCGACGCCCTGCCTGCCATCGAGGAGAGGGAGCCAGCTAGAGAGATCACAGCAAAGAGGGAGCCATGGCGTCTCGCCGCTTGGTGCTCCTGCTAGGCCTACTGGTGGGCCCCCCTGCACCTAGACGCGGAGTTTGGATATCATCAGCAGCGGCGGCAACAACTTCTTCCGACCCTTCGTGTGTGACGATACAGGTGGGCATGGATGATGTTCTCACGTACATGTTGATTGAGAGATGGTGCTCCAGCATGCCGCCTGTGAAGGGACGTGGTGCGGAAGGAAGCATGTTCGTCTTTATCCATGTGACGTCGTGCAGTAGCGCGGCCTTGTTCGAACCTTTCCTCCGGGTGTTGGGGTGCATGCACGAAACCTTTTGTTCGCCGTCGTCCCCCGTCGTCTCTCCTGGGACCACCACTGGAGCATATATACACACGAGCTTTGATGCTCGCTTGATGCTCGCCTTCCACCCTGTGCGGTCGCCCTTGTCTCTAGCCTCCCCCAGACAACACCAGCAGTGCGGCAGTACGCCTGGTGCCCGCTTTTCTTTGTGCGCGATTGATGGCGTTACGTGCGTGCAGGAGACACAAGTCAGGCACACAAGATTATGCGCCAAAAAAATGCGCCAACTGCTACTAAAGCGGTAGTGCAGACTATATATTATCCAGAAAGCGTGTGTTTCCCCCCGCAAAAATCTCTCGCTGTTGGAATGTTTTTCAAGATGCTTCACCATATTTGCCATGTTCTCGTGTCGTGAATGCTGCCGTTGTTCGCTCTTCCTTCCCCCGCGAAAATATCGCCCACCTCTCGGTTGCATTGGTGCCAAAGCAGCAATAGGTTATGCCCGCCTTGGGCACATCTAGAGCTAAATATTTTTTCAACATCCTCTACAGCTCCTGGCCACTACGGCGGGGCCATGAAGAAGTACAGGGGCAGGAAAACAAATTTCTGTGTCCGGGTGAACGGCTCAGGTGTCTGATGTAGACTAGTAGTCGCCATCGCCGAGTACAGGTTGTTGGATATGAAGAAAGTAGAGTTTAGTGTTGGGTTCTCGGCTGAGCTGTGTTGCTTTTTCCCACGGTGTTCATGAAATTTTGTGGGAGATCCTCTCATTGTGAACGGCATTTTTTCCACTGCGGATCAGCACTCCACTGCCGTGTAGGCTAGTTTTGTGTAAATCACGGCTTGCTATGTACAAGTATACAGCAGTAGTACAGCGTGGTTTTGTGCGATTATACCGGCGTGTAAGGCGATCCTGCAATTCATCAACGAAAAGGTCGGCGTGATTTTACCTGAAACTACAACTTCCATCGCACGCACACGCACAGATGAAAGCTCGACCTACCACATGACCTCAGAACACAAAATTCCGCAAGAGAGCGGTTGGGAAGATATCGCCGTAATGCTGCTGCTGTAGCTAGTGCTTACAAGAATCGATCGGTTGTCATAACCCCTGGTGGTTATGGAGCAATTGAGCTTCGAAAGCACGCTCAAACGCTTGGCAGGTTTATCCAGCGCATCATTTGCAGGCACACGTTGATGTTGATGTCCCCTCCGCCCTCCGCCCCCGCCCCCGTCCACTTGCATCCACACACGCATCGCCCCGTCGCACATATAGGTTGATGCCGCGTCGACGGCGAAGAGTTTCCCCGACTGCCCGGCGGTGCTGTTGGCGGTTTCACTCACCGCCTTCACCGAAAACTGCGCTTCTGATATTTCGATGCTCTTGGTGATGGAGGACTACCCCCGGGATGTTAACACGTACGGGGGGGAGAGCTCCGCAGCCTTGGAAGGTGTGTCTCGTTTGTTGGGGGGTGGGGGGGTGGTCGTGTCATATAACCCCACCGTGTGTTCCTTGCGAAAGCCTGAGGGCAATATATCACATATGGCGCACAGCAACAGTTAGGGTGTGGAATTACTTTCCACCGTGGCTTGCCGGCTGACGACTTCTGTGCTGTGCTGTACTGTAGTGAACAAACGGATTGGTTTGTGGAAGTTTTGAAAGGCTAACCCTGTATTGGCCAATGTATGTGACCAAGGGTGTGTTTGGTAAGGTACATACAGAGCAGAGGCGTACCAGCGGTATCATACCTCCGGCATACCGGGGATGCTCGGTGCGTTCGGTATGGACTTGAATACCTTACCGAAGTGTTCGGTACGTTCGGTACGGACTTGAATACCTTACCGAAAATACCGGTACGTTCGGTACGGACTTCAATACCTTAGCGAAGATACCGGTACGTTCGGTACGATGTAAATACCGGTACCGGTGCGATACCGGTACCGAGCGTACCGGTATCGGGCTAATTAATCGGGAAACATCTGCTCTGATACAATGACGTTATATCTGACCCTTTTCTGGTTACGTGTCGCGTGGGGGCACACGTTTCCTAGTGTCCGTTCGGTACTTGTACTTCAGTTGGACTCAGTTTGAAATCTAAGTTTTCGCTCGCCGTTACAGTTTCGATTTTGCAACAGGGCAATTCGCTGTTGAATTTTACTGTCGAACAGTCCCTTGAAAGTTCAAGTCCTTCGTCATTTGTGTTAGATGCAAATTAAAATTAGAATAGGTTTGTTGTTTTGTTTTGTTGGACTCGCGCGCGTAATAAGAGAAAATATCCAAAATCAATCATAAAACTAAAATTATTCCTATAGATAGAGATGGATTTGTTGTGTGATACTAATAAAAAACTAAAATTAAAGTTAAAACTAAAATTATACTCCGTATTCAAGAAGAAGTCCCGTGTTACTGTTCATTTGCTGTTCTCTCCTGCCTGCCTTCCATTTTCAATAGGGAGAGTCTCGGATTGGGATTGACTCCGTACCATCTTTTTTTGGTCTTACTGTTGTGCGCACACGCACATTCATGATGGGCGATATCAATATTGATATTGCATGTAAGTATTGGGGCGTATTGCGTGTAATATTGTAGTCTTGGGGCGACGCTCGGGAGAAATACCGGACAAATACCGATATTGCCGGTACGGTACCGGTATGGACTGCCATACCATACCAAGGATGCTCGGTACGTTCGGTATGGACTTGAATACCTTACCGAAGTGTTCGGTACGTTCGGTACGGACTTGAATACCTTACCGAAATTACCGGTGCGTTCGGTATGGACTTCAATACCTTACCGAAGCTTTCGGTACGTTCGGTACAAATACCGAGAGGTTCGGTACGGTAACGGTATAGACTGCCATACCATACCGGAGTTGCTCGTTACGTTCGGGACGGACTTGAATACCTACCGAAAAAAACGGTACTTTCGGTATGGACTTCCATACCTTACCGAAGTGTTCGGTACGTTCGGTACGATGTAGATACCTTACCGAAAATACCGGTACCGTACCGAACACACCCTTGGTATGTACATATCGTACCATTTCGATTCGGTCAGGGGAACGGTGGGTTTTGACCGCACCACACTTTTTCACCGAGCGCACGGTACGCACGTATGCACCACTTGGATGCTTCTCTACCCGTGAGAACGAAATTGGAAACACCATGTGTCACCTCCTTGTTGTCCGTACCCGAATACCCGTGTCAGTAATACCTGGCCTTCTTGACCCCAAAAGACCTCAAAGGTTCCAACAAGCAGAGAGCGAGATCAACTCTCAGCTCATCTTGTTGGTGGCGCAACTACGGAACACATGTCGTGTGGTGATCTGCGTGTTCGTTGTCGCCCTTATTGTTGTCACGGGTGGACGGATGGTTGAAACCGCGTGCGTTTCTTGTTTGCGATGTGTCGCGCTTTTTGTGTGTTTGTTTTCCCGTTCTTGGCTCACGCAGGCAAAACGATCGCGTGGACCGTACCGGCCCTGACGGAGGGGTCGGCGATGAGCTTGGAGTTTCGGCTGGACCTCTGCGGCTACTGCGACACGTACAACAACGGGAGCTTCAACCCCATCGACACCTTCCAATATGAGTGAGCAACAGGGTGTACCAGCAGGAGTCTTCGGTGCGAGAAGCCCGGGTTGAAGGGCTTGTAGATGTAGTGTCTCCTCTTCTTTACGCCTTCGTGGTTTTCCGGGGTGTGCTTGTTTGGGTAATCCCTTCTGGTCGTGCTAATTTATCCTTGTTGCATTTCATGTCGTCGACAAGTTTCTTGTCTGCCGTCCGGTCTATTTAGATGGTGCGTTGGACCAAAAAGACAATCAGGGCTATGATAGAGACGTCACGTCGACAAGTGGTGCAACGCTACCGTAGCCACGCGGCAATCACCCGGCTAGGCTGGTTCCGTGCATCCCTTCACCGCCCCCCGCGACTTAAAATCGTTGCGCCTCAAATTCCCCGCAGGGACGCCGAGGGCAACGAGCCGAACGACCGCAAGTCGGGCTACCAGCTCAAGTTGGACTGCGCCGGTATCGAGGGGGACCCCGTGGAATCGATCAACGCCACCCCTGCTCCGGTCCGGCCCCCCACCCCCTCCCCGACGGCGGCGGCAACGCCGGGGACTTCCGAGGTGACGATTGCCCCATCGCTGGAGGCGGCAACCACGGCCGCACCGACAGGGATGCCGGCACCGTCATCGACCGTTTCCGCCACCCGCGGGCCGTTCAAGGTAACGATGGCTCCATCCCTGGAGGCAACGACGGCCGCACCGACAGGGATGGAGACGGACGCATGGCTTGATGCAGCCACGTCGGCACCGTCTACGGTCGCGACGGGCTCACCGACGGAGATGGTGATGGACCCATGGCTTGCGGCAGCCACGCCGGCACCGACTATGCGAACGACGGCGGCACCCACGCAGATGGCGACGGACCCATTGCTTCAGGCAGCCACGCCGGCACCGACTACGCAAACGACGGCCGGACCGACGGAGTTGGTGACGGACCCACTGCTTGAGGCAGACGCGCCGGTACCGACTACGGGAACCACAGCGGCACCCACGGAGATGGCGATGGACCCATCGCTTGAGGCAGCCACGCCGGCACCGACTACGCAAACGACGGCCGGACCGACGGAGTTGGTGACGGACCCACTGCTTGAGGCAGACGCGCCGGTACCGACTACGGGAACCACAGCGGCACCCACGGAGATGGCGATGGACCCATCGCTTGAGGCAGCCACGCCGACACCGTCTACGGTAGCGTCGGCCGCTCCGACAAAGATGGAGATGGACCCCTCGCTTGAGGCAGCCACGCCGACACCGTCTACGGTAGCGTCGGCCGCTCCGACAAAGATGGAGATGGACCCCTCGCTTGAGGCAGCCACGCCGACACCGTCTACGGTAGCGTCGGCCGCTCCGACAAAGATGGAGATGGACCCCTCGCTTGAGGCAGCCACGCCGACACCGTCTACGGTAGCGTCGGCCGCACCGACAGAGATGGTGATGGACCCGTTGCTTGGGGCAGACGCGCCGGCACCGACTACGGCAACGATGGCTCCATCGCTGGAGGCAGTCACCGCCTCGCCCACGGAGATGGCGTTGGACAAGTCGCTGGAGTCAGTCACGCCAGCGCCGACTACGCAAACGACGGCCGGACCGACGGAGTTGGTGACGGACCCACTGCTTGAGGCAGGCGCGCCGGCACCGACTACGGGAACCACAGCGGCACCCACGGAGATGGCGATGGACCCGTCACTTGAGGCAGCCACGCCGACACCGTCTACGGTAGCGTCGGCCGCACCGACAAAGATGGTGATGGACCCCTCGCTTGAGGCAGCCACGCCGACACCGTCTACGGTAGCGTCGGTCGCACCGACAGAGATGGTGATGGACCCCTCGCTTGAGGCAGCCACGCCGACACCGTCTACGGTAGCGTCGGTCGCACCGACAGAGATGGTGATGGACCCCTCGCTTGAGGCAGCCACGCCGACACCGTCTACGGTAGCGTCGGCCGCACCAACGCAGATGGCCACGGACCCATCGCTGGAGGCAGCCACGTCGGCACCGACTACGGGAACCACGGCGGCACCGACACAGATGGCGACAGACCCATCGCTTCAGGCAGCCACGCCGACACCGACCATGCGAACCACGGCGGCACCGACGCAGATAGCGACGGACCCATTACTGGAGGCAGCCACGTCGGCACCGACTACGGGAACCACGGCGGTACCCACGCAAATGGCGACGGACCCATTGCTTCAGGAAGCCACGCCGACACCGACTACGCGAACGACGGCCGCACCGACAGACTCTGCAACGGCTTCAGCGACTATCACTACCTCCTCGCTTGGTATGACTCAAGCACCGGTTCCTGGAACTCAAGCACCGACACCGACTACGCGAACGACGGCCGCACCGACAGACTCTGCAACGGCTTCAGCGACTATCACTACCTCCTCGCTTGGTATGACTCAAGCACCGGTTCCTGGAACTCAAGCACCGACACCGACTACGCGAACGACGGCCGCACCGACAGACTCTGCAACGGCTTCAGCGACTATCACTACCTCCTCACTTGGTATGACTCAAGCACCGGTTCCCGGAACTCAAGCACCGACCCCTGGAACTCAAGCGCCGTTGGAGGCTAGCGAGGAAGAGGCACCCCTGCCGCCAGTGCTCGAGGACGAAGGCAGCGGCAGCAACGACGACGACGGCGTTAGCGACAGCTCGGAGTACGATTCAACCGGCGCGCCCACGCCGGTGGGCGTGGACGGTAGTCGGGGGATGATTTTCACTGCGAGCCCGTCTGCCGCTCCAAGCAGCGCCCCAACCTGTGAGTCAGTCCCCTATCGGTTGTCTTCTTTTTTTTTGTCACACGCTGGTTGGTGCTTTTTGGCCTACGGCAAGAGTTGAATTGAAGCGTGAGCAGTAGTACGATAGCGGTGGAACGCTGGCGGGAGGGAGCCTTGACAGTATGACGCGGGAAAGCGAAAAGAGACCTGCCTGTCTGCCTGCCTGCCGCCTGCCGAGACCTCGTCTTGTCTCGTGCACACGGCGTATTTCGTCGTCGGGGCACCGTCGAGGTCGACGAAAGACTAGAGACAGACCACAGCCGATGGTTTTACAGCAAGCCACGATCGTCGGTGTTCATGCTGGTACCTTTATTGCGCAGGTTCTCACGTACGCCCTCCGTACTGCACGCGTCCGCATCGACAGAATCTCCCCCCCCGTTGATGAACGCTTCTACTGCTGTTCTCGTATTGGCTTATCTGAAGCCCCCACCCTCCCTCCCTCCCTTCTATCGGCGTTACTTCGTGAAATACTTTGTGTCCAAATGGTGTATTGGTGTGAGTGTAGCTGGTGAAAACGAGTCTTCGCGGGGGATCACGCTGGAGATTCAGTCCATCTTCGAAGCCAGGAGAAGGAGAAGAGCGTTGTCCTCCGAGGTGTCGCATGACGGAACTGCTGGTGAGTCCGACGGCCGGTGCAAATTGTACGTTTGCGTTCAGAGACCAATCGCTGTTCAACCTTTCGCTATGCGGGGTTTTGGCACTCGTCACTTTAACGAGACTCGTATTACTTTAGTAGTACGTGGAGGGTTCAATAAGGACAATATATGCGAACTTGAACCATACCCAAACTAAAACCTCTCCCTTTGAAGCCTTGCCGTCGCCCCTTACGGAAAAACAAGAACGAAATATGGGAAAGGAGAAAGTGCAGACAAGAGCCCTCTCTAAAAAGTTGGATCAAAGACAAAAGGATATGATTTTGGTACCGATAATAGTGTCTCTCTCAGGGGTAAAAAATACAATACCACGCCAAATGCTCTCATGGCTGCAGCAACCAACTCTCGGGCACCCCCCCCCCTCCGTGCGCGCGCGTTCAGAACGGAGGGCGCTTTCTGTGGTGTATGAGGAAGACGCTGAAGCGTACGACGAGGCCATGGTGGATGTGTGCGCGTCCATGGTGGGGGTCGATAGAGAATGCGTCATGTCGGTGTGGACGTCCTTTGGTTCTGACGGCGCCGCTGAGGACGCCGCCCGTCGGGGTTTGATGACGTCATCGAGGTGGGTATGCGTGTCTGCAATTTCTTGGGTCGCACTTCCAAGAATATGGTACGTGGAGAAGGTGGAAGCTGCCACAACGATGGATGATTCAAAGATGATATGGCCTGAAGAAGATGTGTGTGGCCTTGATTTTTCGTTCCAAAGCGCCGGAGGGAGGGGGTGTCATGCACCCGGGAAGTTGGGAATTGGACAGCATCCAGTTCATTTTCGGTCGGAGGAAGCTGCGTTGCCAGTTGGTGTCAGCAACCACAGCTACGAAAAATATGGTTTTCACCTGCCTGTCCATACTCATCCTCGCCTTGTTGTGCGTGCACAGTACGTGCACAAGGTGGAAACAAGTGATCCTCTGTCTGCAACAGCACTCACCGCATGAATGGCATGTCGAACTCAGCTACGTGCTGTTTGGTTGCCTATTGCCTGACTCCCTTAAAGCTTGATGACAATAGTGGTTGTATTACCTTGCGTTTGGTTTGCTTCACGTGTTTTGTATCTCAGCTCGCCCGTTTCTGGCTGTTACGCTTTCGAATGCCTCTTTCAATTCAATCCCAACAGCTCTTCCGACGAAGCCATCATGGCCACTCAGCTTACACCAGTGACTACCTGCGAGGTGTGTGTGACGTGTTGTCGTGTGTCTCTTTCAAGTTGTGATGATGCTGATCCATTGCGCTGTACAAGTAGTAGGTTTCGTCCGGTTTCCATTGCTATCCCTCTCTTTTTGTCGAGCCTAAGAAGCTGATGTATTTAGCTTGGAGAGTGGTATGCTCGTTTTACTGGAGGCTCGCGGTTTGTTTGTTCCCTCCGTGGGGAAACCGACAGGATTGTTTTGATTTACTGTAGGGTTCCTTGTTCGACAATCCGTTGTCGTGATGAAGTTCTTTAAGGTAAGACTTGAGAAACTTGAGCTTCAGGTCATTCATTCACCGCCAATATCTGAGGTGGTGCGCGTCTGGTTCTGAAACCATGAATGTATTCGAACGTTGATCAAGAGTAGCTGGTTTTCGCTACACCACAGTTGGTCTTGGATCGCGGGGAGCACACTCTCATTTTGTTCACTTCAACTTGGTACTTGATTGGATACAATATCGTGTTTGAGTGTCACCGCGTGTACGGCGGTGTCAAGTATCAAGCTCACGGGGCTCGTGAATCGAGGGCATCGTCTTGCACAGAAAGAAGAAGGGGCGTGACTCTGTCAAAAAATGCCTTGACTATCCGGCTTACAAGCGTAACTTAACAAGTGACAGACATGGGCTTGGCAAGAAGAAGCACTCTCGTCGTGTCCACCATACCCGTAACATCATCAACGTAGTCCCCCCCCGTGAGGACCCGTAGATGAGAAGCATTGCATAGTACCTCCCTAAATACGACTTGGGATAAGGTGTTGCCCGCTCCTGGAGCGATGGTATCCGGCCGCCTATTAGAGTCACTGCCTCGCCCGAAAAGTCCCGGGGCGGCCGTGTGCTCAGCCCCGGGAAAATGGCGTTTGCGGCGCACAAGGCGGCCAAAATGAACCGGTGGAGTCGGGGTTTACTATCATTGTTGGTGGCTTTTCTCGATGAAACGGTGGGCGCAATCTAAAGCACACCCGAGCGGGGTCCCTTTTCGGCCTCGAATCTCGGGGTGTGTAAACCACGCCCGACACTTTGGGGTTTTAAGTTATCGGTGTTACTGTTGGCGAGTCGCGCAAGCTTAACTTCGAACGGCTGCTGACGTACACAGCGACGATCAAGTTACGGGTCAAAGTACCGAATTCCCGGGGCGCCGCTCTTTCCCTGTCAGCAGTTCCTCTTGTTCGGCTTACGACAACCAACAGCAGGTGCCCGAACATGAGTCCAGTATTTGGTTTCGTGTAATACTTGAAGGCGTTTGTTGCTGTTGCTGTTGCTGTTGCTGTTGGTTCGGCCGCCTGCACAGGTGGACCTGAGTGGGGAGGGCGACACGAGATCGATGGCAGCCGCGACGATGGTGGACCGGTTGATGCAGCCCGAAAACTTCGTGCTCGCGATGGACGAGAACCAATTCGGGCCCGTCAACGTCGTAGTTACCTCGGTAAGACGATAGATAGCCAGAACCGGACTACGTGAGAGGAAAGTTATAAAACATGGCAATTTAGGTGGTCAATGAGTCAATGATGGTTACAAACAACAGCAGTAGTAAGAACAACGGAGATTGCCGCACAATTTGTATGCACGGCGGCGCAACCATTGTTGTCACGACGACGCCCATCCCACCCTAGATGCACGCCGGCGCCTAACCCCCGTCCCCGACCATTGCTTCCCATTCCCGACCAGTCCCAAAACATGGTTTGATACTTCGTCCCAACGTCGTACACACGCAGATCTCTTTCTGGCAGAACGAGTGCCGAGACCAAACGTGTCCCGCGGGGGATGGATCGTATGCCTCCGTCTACCCGATAGCCGAGACGCCGTCGAGCCAGAGTTCCGTCGTGGGGGAGGACACCACGCCCGACAATGAGCTGAAGCTGCTCTGGTTTGCCGTTATCGCTGGCGCTCTGTTCCTGCTGGCGGTCTTGAGTTGGTGTGTCGTCTGTCTGTGCTGCGGGGTAAGTCGGGTGAACTGGCGCGTGGTGTCTCGTATTGGTTGTGCTGCTTGCTGGTGGCACTCTCGTTGGCGTTTCAAGTATTTTTTGGAACGTTTTGGTGCTTGAGAGTTTTTTCGGTCGTAGTTCGCCTTGACCCTTCGAGACTTTTCGATAACTTATTTCAGACTTTTTGTTATTTTGGCGGTCGGGCGAAAGAGAGCAACAGCAACATCAGTCGCTCCACAACCCCTGGGCCTATTTCCTCCGATACTCCATTGCGTTCGCTTTCAGCTCAACGACGCCCCCCCCCCCCCCCCCCCCCCCCCCCCCCCCCCCCCCCNCCCCCCCCCCCCCCCCCCCCCCCCCCCCCCCCCGCCCCCGCGCCGCTACGCAGGGCCCGACCAAATGGCGCAAGCCCAAGCCCGCCGAGTCAGAGCGGTACTCTGTCAAGTCTCCCCCGAACACCAAGGACGGTGGTGGGGCCGGCCTCGCCGTGCTGTCGCCGCAAGGGAACCAACGTTCTGCGACTGCGACGTCCCCCATCCCCGACGGAAGCAGCCCTAGCTGCATGTCCCCCGGTCGTTCGCCGGTGCCGCCGCAGCCGGGACCAAGGCCGAAGCACTCTGGCCGGAAGCGCACCCCCCCGCCTAGGCTGTCGACCTCCCCCGGCCGCGGGAGAGACGTGCCTGTGGAGCCCCCGTCGCCTGGGGAGGCGGACTGGCGACACAAGTTCGGTCTCGGCCCTCTGAGGTACCGAAGGGCTGTGGGCATGTGTTGCATTACATACATGATCATGTTGTAGTTGCCGTCTTGCACGTGCCGTTAGCGGGTGACTTGTGTACTTTCTGGCGTGATGAGTGGGTGGTTAGCAAGGTTCACCTGTAGCTTACAGATTGCGTGTAAAATTATTTGACTGTCGTTCGGGCGTCTAGTTCTTCTTATCGGCGGTGCCCATCTTCCCTCAATGACCCTCGATTGCCACCCACTGCTATACTGCTAACAAGTCAGGTAAATTTAGAGCGATTGCTAATGGACACATTGGATCGATCTCTCTGCCCCCCCCCCCCCCCCCCCCCCCCCCCCCCCCCCCCCCCCCCCCCCCCCCCCCCCCCCCCCCCCCCCCCCCCCCCCCCCCCCCCCCCCCCCCCCCCCCCCCCCCCCCCCCCCCCCCCCCCCCCCCCCCCCCCCCCCCCCCCCCCCCCCCCCCCCCCCCCCCCCCCCCCCCCCCCCCCCCCCCCCCCCCCCCCCCCCCCCCCCCCCCCCCCCCCCCCCCCCCCCCCCCCCCCCCCCNGCTCCTCTTGCCTGTATAACTGCGTTTCAGGGACCACACCTACCGCAGCGCACCCATCTCCCCCCGACGGTCCCCCCTCTCTGTGGGGTCTGCGTCGCGGTCGGCTGGAGGGCCTTTCTACACGAGCTACCAGGACCATGTTGTGGCGGCAGCAGACGGGAACATGGGCGGGAAGGTCGGATTGACGCCACTTGCAGACGACGCCAGCGCCGCCATGGAAAGCCAGGTGACCAACGAACGAAAAGCAGGGGGGGGTTGGAGCAGCAGCAATTGTTCCGTGTTTCTTGGTTGGGGTTAGGGTGTCTTCCGGCTTGGATAAGTGCGGCGAGATCGGATTGGTTGTGTGTGGCTGCGAATGCTGTTCCGCTCGTTTGCTGCATGACTCATGGCTGGTGGTGGGAGCGCACATTTATTTCACCGTTTAACAGTAAAACCTTATTTCATTTAAGCAATCTCCCCGTGTGCCAGCCTGTCAACGAAGGACGCACAACACGTTTTAAGAAAGCCCCCCCCAAGTCGGTTGAAGCCTCAGAAATATATCCATCAATAATGCGAAAGGCAGTAATAACAACATCCGAAACAGGACAGCGACCCGTCTGCTTGTCGGATCATCATCGGATCGTGCGATGATGGTATGTACCTCGCTTTTCTCCCCCCCCCCCCCCCCCCCCCCCCCCCCCCCCCCCCCCCCCCCCCCCCCCCCNCCACTTGCCCCGGCAGGTTCATTGGCACGTGTCGGACGAAGTGGACGCCAGCGTGCAGCACAACAACGACCCCGTAGTACGGTCGTCTTTGGCAAAGGCCGGGACGGTGATCGCGAACGCTATCACTTCGCCTCGCAAGGTGAACGGATTGGATTTAGACAACCGTAAAACCGCTAGACCTGCGGGGGGGGGCTCGATTTGCTCCTCGTCTTCATTTTTTATTGCCTGCGTGGTACTGGTGCTGTGTAGGGCTCTCCTCTGGCTGTGCCCAGCAATTCCACCGGCGCTATACAGGGCCATAGGTGTTATTCAACGGGTGTATTTGAGGGCCCACTACAGGAAACGGTGAAATGGTGGTATCTAATAGATTGTTCCGGCACTTTTTCGCAGCTTCATTCCCCGTTTAAGAAGTTGTGTTTTTCTTCGTCGTTCGCGGAATTTCGGGAAGTGCCTCGTGCGTGGAGCCGGTAAACCATGGCAACGGGTGCTCCGGAAGCGATGGGTTCTTGGTGGTTGTCAACCGCTGTCGCTGTTGGGTGCATCGTCGTCGTGTCCTAGGACCCTCTGTTGTACCTTTATTCTACCACTGACCCTCTCGTGTAGGGGTTAAAAAGGTGTTGGAGGCGAGGTACTGAGAAACTGCACAGCCGAAGCGGTAACGTCTCTTTGCCCTGAGCGTTTATGCCACCGTGTAGGCACGTAAAATTAACTGGATAACTGGATAATAGTTTGAACAACTTAAGTGACTTCCAAATAATAAGAAATTTAAAATTATTGGATTTTAAAAATCATTTACAGACAGAATTGCTTTGTTCTTGTACCATTAGCAAGAAAAATAGATCTAGAACGGGAAGTAGACATTATAGAAGAGATTGTAAGAATTATAGGACTTAATATATTTAAACCTTTAGCGATAACAAATAATCAATTTGGATACTTAACTAAATTTGAGAAACTTAAAAGACGCCTAAGAGAGTATTTCCTCCATTTAGGATTTAATGAAAGTGATTTACTCTTCCTGTAAATAATGGCCAATGCCAGGTGTATATGCTGTCACTTCAAACCCAGAGGTTAGCCTTACCCGTGCAACTTTTCTTATGGCTGAGTTTGACTTTTTTGGTGTTATGGTTGCGCTTTAACGCACGTGCTGGGCCCCATCGTCTCCGTGACCTGCACGTACACGACTGTAAGTTTGCGCCGATTGTTGTTGGACCGGATTTCTCACCCACACCTGCCTGCCCATTCGCCACGACACGAACGCCCCGATCCGATCCGATATGATCGATGCCTCCAGGAGCTCAACCGCCTGAAAGAAGCGCTCAACAGGCCGTCGGGGCTGCAGGCGTGCCACTCGACAAGCCCGACTGTCACCGCCTCCAGCGCCGACCCCAGCTCCATGCCCGGCTTCTTCGGCAGCGAGGGCGGCTTCAGCCCGGGAGGCAACAACAACACCTTCGGCGGCAGCAGCAGCAGCCACAACTTCAACGCGCGCGCGAGTTCTCCTATCTACGAGATCGACCTCGAGGCTGACGAGAACGGCGGCGGCGCTGCTGCTGCTGCTGCTGCTGCTGCTGCTGCTGCTGCTGCTTCTGCGACCGGAAGTGGGCTCGCGAACGGCGGCGCGTCCGAGGGCGGGGGTGCCGCGGATGGTAGCCCCACCCCCAGAAAGGGCCGTGCGGGGAGTGCTTCGTTCGGCACGACCGGCGAAGACCCGGACGTGTCCACGCCGCTCAGGACCCACAAGGCCGGGCGAAACATGTTCGCGAAGGCCCCGGGGTCTTCCTCGAGGTCGCGTGTGGGTGGGGGGGGAGGAGGAAGCTCCCACGGGGCGACGACCCCTACGTCTCCGTCCAACAACAGGTCGACGTGCACCGATCGGTCGGGGTGCGGCGGCGGCGGCGACGGCGGTGAGGGGGTAGAGGGGGGGTTCTCGGTGTTGGCAACGGCGGCGGCGTTTGCTGAGGTCAAGGTGGGGGTGGAATCGCCGACTGGTCGTGCCGTGCGTGCGCTTGCCGCCGCCGGCGGCGGCAGCTCTGACAAGAGCGTTGTCGCTGACAGGAGCGGCGACAGCGTCGTGTCCGACGGACGGCCTCCGGGGATGCCGTCCCTACCCGCCGCCAATCACGGCGAAACCTCTGGAAAACCCTATGGTGTCTCGAGAACGGCCGCGGCCGCTGCAGTCGCCGCCGGGGCCGTCGCCGCCACGAAGGCATACGGCATTCGCGAGAAGTTCGACGAAGAAGAAGACACCGGTGGGGGTGCTGACCCCGCCCTTTCCCCTCGCGGCGCCCCTCCTTCTGCACCTTTCGGGGGCATGCTTTCTGGCTTCGGGTGCATGGCGCCCCAGCTTTCTCCGGGGAAGGGGGGCGCGCGTTTGTCACCGAGGGCAGGCAGCCGTCTGCCGGAGATCGACGACGATGACAGTAGCTTGGCCGAGGAGGAGGAGATGGAGGAGAACGGGGAAGTCGCCGGGAAACGTGCGCCTGGGAGTTGCTCGCCCTTTTCGCGGCCGCCGCTCAACTCCGGGACTGGCGACGGCCGCAGCGAGCGTGTCGGGCAGGGGGGAGGATCGGCGTCTGCGGTGTCCCTCGAGAAGGCGCTTGCTCTGTCTCGCTCGTGCACGATGACCCCCGACCTCAAACCGATCGCCGAGATGGCGGACAGCGGGTCCTTCACCGATTCGGAGGCCGGCAGCGACGTGAGCTCGTGCTTGTCGTCCATGAGCGGCAGGAGCGGGTACCGGGTCCCCCGCGACCCGGCCGCTCTACTCGCGGCGGCGATGGAGAAGGCCGGCCAAGTAGCGGCGATCCCCCCGCCGTCCTCTGGGAGCCACGGCAGGCCTCTCAGCTCGGTGCAAGAGGTCCCGATGGAAGGCGTGCCGCTGCCTGGGCTTGCTACCCCCGAGTCTGACGATGAGTGCGGTCTCAAGGTCCACAGTCCTTGGGATTCCGGGAGCACGACCACCTCGACGGTGTCCCCCTTGAGGGCGGCGGTCTCTAAGGTAGGGGTTGACACGACGGTTGTGCCGATACCGTCGCCGGCTCAGCGTCCCGAGAGTAGCGATGAGTCCGGCGAGGTGACGGAGGAAGAGGAAGAGGAGGAGAAGAAAGGCTTGGAGGCGGAAAAAGCGGTGCCGGGAGCTGCGGGCCACGCGCGGGGGTTCCCGTCGCCGGCCAGGAGCAGACAGGAACAAGACGACGAAGTGGAGGAGCGCAGGACCTGGGGAGAGGCGATGCAGCAGGGTGAGATGACGGCGGCGGCGATGTCGGGCACTGTCCTGTGTCATGATGATGGTGTCCCGGCGTTGGCAAGTCCGTCGCCTACTGCCGCCCCCGCCGGAGCTGCGGGCCAGGCGGCGGCGGCATTGGCATCGGGCGCGACCGGTTCTTCTCAGGATGAGTCGTCGGTTGGAGAGGATGCGGACAAGCCCCCCGCGTTCTCTCTGAAGAGCGCTCTGTCGGCGTTCCTCGGCCGCAAGGACAACGGCGGTGTAGTGGCACCCGCTGACTCCGTCGATGAAGAGGAAGAGGAAGAGGAAGAAGGCGACGAGGAACAGGAAGAGGGAGAGGGGGGAGAAGAAGAGGGAGAGGAGGAGGAAGTGAAAGAGGAAGAGCCCATCGGTACTGTTACGATCGATGCCGCAGACGACTCTGCTACCCCCGACTTCGCCAGGTCTCCCGAGTCTCACACGCTGGACATGTGGCCCGAAGCCATCGGCGAAACGACGTCAAAGACATCGCTCGACGAAGGGTTCGTGGACGTGAAGATCTCGCACGTGGCGATGGAGGAGGAGGAGGAGGACGACGACACCGACGACGAGGCCATGCTTCTCCAGGAACCGGCTCAAGGCCCTGCCGCCCACACGCCCACGCTCGTGATCCAGGCTGAAGAAGCCGGTGAGTCTCCCTCCTTCCATCTTCCATGATGTGCTGTTTTCTTGCTGTTCTTGGTTCTTTTTGCGCGCCCCAAAGCTACGGCCTCCGCCCACGGGTATGAGAGGGTTTGTACCGCTGTAGGTCTCCAAGGGGATGGCTGCTTTACGCGCGTGAGTTTTGGTTGCTGTCAGGCGGTCTACATACCCGGGTGTGGTATGACCCCTCCGTGTCGAGATGTGTAAGAGAGAGTGGTCGTTAGTGAACAGCGCTGGGTGGGTGCCCAGCATTTGGCCGACCATTTATGCAGGGATCAACCACTGTACATGGTTTTGCGCCGTCGTGTGGTCCACGCGAGATGCAGTTCTCCAACGTGTCTGTTTTTGGCCTGAATTTCTGTAACTCTCACGTTCGTGCAGTAGATGGTGGTGGGTCGCTGTGTTGTCTTCGCACTTGGAACAACAACAATCAGCAACATATGGAAGCATTGCTGTTGTAGCCAGCTCCTCCTCAACCAGCCCCTTCCTCCCGCCTTTCTTTCGCTGCCACAGACGCGTCCTTGAAGCCCGGGCAGACCCCGTTCTCGAGGGCAGCGATGAACCTGCAGAGCCCCGGGCCCGACTCCCCCAAGGCGCTTCAGGAGGTTACAATGCCGGCCTTGCCGATGCCACCGTCTCCCTCGATGCCCAAGGCATCCATGACCCTTCAAACCCCGAAGACAGCGGTAAACCCGCGCCACATCTCCGACGCGAGCCCGATGTACGACCGGGAGGCCATCGCCAGGGCAATGGTGAGAGACGGTGCCGCGCGGGGAAATGCGCTCACGGAGAGGGACGAATGCCCTCTTGGGTCGCATGCAGTACTGGTGTACCGGTGGTACGGGGTACGGTTTATGGGACGACCCGCACAAGCCGATGACACTCTCTCCCTCTCTTTAATCCGCTCTATATTACCGTAGGATGTTGGAGAATACTTCGGAAGTAAGTACTAGGTAGAGGCATGTTTTTCCGGGCCGCGACAAGCCACTTTTACTCTCCGTATGTTCTCCCAAACAGTCCCTCTTGAACCGTAGCCGCTGCTGTGGGTTATTTGGTGTTGTTCCGGCGGGGTTAGCAAGCACCATCATCGAATCTTGACCCTCACCACGCATTTATTTGTCCAAAACATGTTTATCTAGTGTGTCGATCGGTATCGGTTGTCATCGAAGGAACCCTATCCCTTGACGGCTCTGGTCTATTAATTGCACTGCTAGTCCGCCAGCCCTCAACACAAGACGCCCGTGCCGACCTCCCGAAGGTTGTGGGTGTGGGGGTCGCGACCTTTGTCCCTATCTCATCACCTACCGCCCACCCGCCCTCGTTACGAATGCGAATGTCTCGGGAGCAGGCACAGGCGGACCAAGAGCAAGACGGCGACAGCGACATCGTAGTGTCCAGGGTGGAGTGGCCGAGCGAGAGGCGGATTAACTCGTACACCGACAGCAGCGTTAGCGGCATGAGTGAGATGACCAGCAGTAGTTGCAGCGGAGGGGACGGCGGCAACGGCAACAAGAAGGCCGGCCACGGGTTCTAAGGCTTGATTGATGTTGAGAAGGAAGACGAGGGTAGAATGATAAGCAATGGCTGGTTGCCATGGCGGTAGTATGCTGCCGTGTTGGAGGCGTGGTGGGGGGATACCGCTCACTGTTGACACACAGATATGGTTGTTTGCGGACGTCGGCCTCTCAAGGAGACCGGCAAAAGGAAGTGCTGCTATAGATATTGGGCTGGTGATGCTCAGGCTCGGGGGGGAAAGCACATGGGTACTACCCAGGCCCTCGCCGTATGCATTCATCCTCCGTCTTTCATCTATGAAGCTCGTCGTTTTGTCAAAACGTAACGTTGTGAAAGGGGTAGACTAGGGCGAAAAAAGCTTTGCTTGTTCGCGGGTGGGTGGATGTGTAGGATCGGGACATCGTTCGATGTGGCCGGTCGATTTTGTGTCATGGGCGGGGTGGATGGATGCACTGCACTGTGGCACTGGACTGTCAATCGCAGAGAGAGCCTCCGCCATCTCCGCTGGACGAAAGGCGGCGAATCGTATTCATCGTCTGGGCCCTTTACGTACCATGTACAACGAGTACCTCAAGCGCAAGAATAGCAAGGAGTCTGCCGAAGACAAAGAAGAGTGCGAATGCCTCGGATTTTTTTTTTCTTCTTTATCGGTTGACGGACCTCCTCGCCGACAGTTTGAGATTCATATATATAATTTTTTAAGAGTATTGTTTGGTTAGGTGACCTTGGGTGTTCCATGTGCGAAAGCTTTTCTGCGGAAGGAAGCTGTTCAATAAGGGCACAATGGGATGGGGGGCAATTGTCTGGTACGTTCTACGTGGCTTGATCTTTGGCGACGCGTGCTAAATGGGGAGATCGTTTGCTTCGGTCTTGCTGGCAGAGGTTGGATTTGCGGCAAGCAGGCGTGCTTTTTCTAGTTTATGAGGGGTCATTCATCATCCTCGCAGTTACCATGCGCCTATGTACGGTCGTTCTTATTTTGCCACGTTGGGTGGGACGGACCTACCTGGTATTCCCTGTAGCAGGGGAAGATTTAACTCCTGCATGAGGCGCAGGTAGGTTAGCTACTCCGTTGCGTACCTGTAGACCACCGGGTGATGTTCGTGTGTTGTGTAGAAGCCTGCGTAGCGGCGTTTTATCCTCTTTTTCACTACTTTGCTACCATTGAAATGTCTTGGGCGGTGTTGTTGGACCACATTGTCTTGGACGTGCGGGGCTACCTGCTTGGGTTGGTGTGTACAGTTGCATCCTGGTGCCCTGTGCGGAAATTCGCATATTGTTCCTGTTGTGTGCAATGTCCGTCCCAAGACGTAAGACGAATATTTTCGACCGGGTGACGCCTTACTTTTTCTGTCCCGTTTATTTGGGGATCGAGACGCAGGGAGCGCAGCTCTAGGTGTGTTCCCGCTCAGTGCTGTTCTTGATACACTGCTGCTGTGGTCCTGCCGGACTGTTTTCTTTTGTAGACGATGTTTTTGAATAAGTACGTGTACATCTTGGGGTTTTTCACTGCGATCTTTTTTGTTTGTTGCAGAGTTCTGTGTGTTTTCGGTTTACCAGGAATACATGGATGCGTTCGATCGGAGTAGGTAGATAGTGTAGGTGTTGATGTTGCTTGGCGGTCACGGAACACTGTAAACAGTAACAGTAAGTAGTACGATGGACGGATGAAATATTATGCTCGTACAGAGGGCTTACGGTGTGCTTGTATTGATGCCTCGTGGAAAGACAAGTTGTTGGTGACTCCGGTAATTTGGGTGGTGCTGATGCCAGGGAGGAGTAGCCGTGCATAAAAGCAGAACAAAACAATATTTCCATCGATGCATGCACGTTTTCTTGGTAGGCATGAAGCATATCCTGGCTGGTCCAATCCCCAGGGTCTTGTGTCGCGGGAGGAGACCAAATGCGTGTCGCCTCTAGCTGTTCTGGTTCGGCAATGATTCATTGGGCGAATGATGGAATCTTCACCGCGAAGTAAGTAAGTGGTCATCACATCTGTCAATGATAGCCCCCTTGATTCATTCCTTCCGATCTGATTCCGGCCGGTGCTCGTTCGCTGTTCGACTAGGAATGTTGTACAACACGCCAACATTTCTCAAGTGGTGTATCTGCTTCGTATTCACTCAAGAGAACAATCCGACAACATCGATCCTCCTGTCTCTACTGAAGCTATTCTCAACTTACTTGAAGACGGGTGGTTGCTCGATGAGCACGTTGTCTGTAAGCATCAATTTCCGATGACGATCGCGTAGAATAATCGAAGCCTGCGTAGTTCGTTATTTTCGAGTTTGATCCCCTTGATCTAACTTTCTCATGCGGGAGTCCAATTGAGTGAAGAGATCACAAGAGGCACGACAAATGCACAACAGGCAAGTCGTGCTGCAAAAAAAGCGAGGCTCAGATGATGGATGCACATCGTTGTGGAAAGAAAGGGGGGTGACTTCCGGCGCCGCCGTTGGTTCGTTTGAAAGGGACACCGGAGAAGAGTGACAACAAAACAATCACTGCAACGATCAGCCAACAACGGGTGGAAGACTTGATTGGTGAAGGCCCAAGAGGCAGGGTATGGACGATACCCGAGGGAGAAAGGTGCGTTGCCTACAATCTATAGCGTGCCCAGGCAAATCCAGCACAAAAAAAGTCATTCGTCAATCCCGTACACACAGCGGGGCGCACGAGCTCGTTGCTATTACTCAATCCCGGAAGAAGTAGACAGCGTTGTCGTTCATCGAGCTCCGTTCATCCATGATGATGATCATCATCTCAAAACGAGCAAGAAGTTTCTCTTCGTGTTCCAATCTGAAATTATAAAAATCACGAAAGTACATGGGTATGGACCCCTCTTGCTGTTCACTTGGTACCTTCGCTGCCTGCTCCTGCTCATTCAGTCATGTTCGTTCTCATTCCCTCTTTGCCCCCCCCCTCCCCCGGGTAGCCCCTGGCCAACATGGCGGCACTAGCACAACAACCGCATCTATCCCTCTATATCCCCTCCCCCCCCCCCCCCCCCCCCCCCCCCCCCCCCCCCCCCCCCC